TACTTTGTCCGCCGATAAACCAATTTCTGTAGCGACTGAATCGAGGAGGAAAAGATCGGCCACGCGACGCACGAACGACCAACATCGAGGAACAAAGAGCAGGATGGGGGAGCGAGGGCGGAAGTGCAATCGTCCTCGAATCGAAAAAGAATAGAAGAAGCGTATTCGAATTCCGGGAGGATCGCACGGGAGTCAATTAACGTCGAATGACGTTTTGGGATGATGTTTAATTTTATCGACCGATCTAACCACCTTCTCGGAGAAGGAAAATTGACGACATCGCGATTACTTTGCGTTTTTATCGAGCCACGATGATTCAAAGCAACGTAAGGAAAAAAAAAGAAAAAGAGTCTCGACGCTTATTATTAGAGTTATCGACGCTTCCAAACCGTTCGATGATATTTTAATTTTTGGGTTTAAAGACACGCGAATAATTAGACAATCGTTCAATAATCATTGCGACAATGATAAAACCGATTCCAGTAGCGATGATGATAAAACGAGAAAAGAAAAGAAGAAAAAAAACGTATTGGATCGAAGAATAAAGAAAACGAAGAAAACGATATTAACGCATGGAAAATTCGCGGCTCGCTTTTTAAATACGAGTCGATATACGTCTGTCTGAATAAGTTTGGCGAGGGAGGAATGTGGTATTAAAGAATCGGGCAAGTTTCGAGCCGATAATAAAATCGACGAGTTAATCGTCCATCCATCGGTGGGTGGAGACGCATTAGACGGGATGGCAGGCGGGTGGAAACGATGCGAGAGAAACTCGATCCAAGTTTCGCGAAGGCAATCGTATTTACGATGATTCCTCATCCCCGGCCGGGTCGAGTCAACACCCGCGATAAGAGGACACTTTTACTTGCACTCCAACGAAGAAACCGCTCCCGGCAGCCGCGCCGCTTTTGACCTTTTGCTTTGCCCGGATCGAGGCATGGCAAGGGGGATCTTCTCGACAAAAGATTTATGAACCCCTCGGCAATGCCAGTATGCTACTTATTCTATCGTCGAGTATACACTCGAGGTTCACAAAAAATGCGGGGGTGGTATGTACACGCCAACGATCCTCAAAGAGAAATCTTAAAAAAGGAACGACCCTCCTACTATCGAATCAATCATTTCCAGACTCGCGAGCTCCATACACCTCTCTCGCCAATTGTTCGCCATTATTAATAACGGCGTATTCTTTCGTTCGCTCGATCACAAATAATCCAGACTAATCCGGGGTGCGGGGAGAGGGGGCATATTTGCGAATTTCCCAATTAACCAATTTCCACTCGGCGTGGACGGCCGAGACATTGCCTCGCTGACAGCTCACTCTCATCCAGCCAAGGTGGAATTACGTACGTACGTAGGTGGACGCGTTCTCGCGAGCCCGTTCTCTACTAGTCAATTGACACGATTCCCAGTAATTTTAGCCAGTGGTTAGAACCGAGGTCAGGTTATACGTGCCGGGTCGCGTACGCGATATACACGAAACTAATCATAATGTATCCTCATCGGTCGAGGGGGGAGGCAGTGCTATGATTGGTCCGTTGCGGTATTCCTCGCTGCCAGATAAAGTTACCGTAATATGGATTAACTGCCCGTTATACCTCGTATTCCGATTCGATGCGCGCATTCGGCCGGCATGTAGTAATGAACTCGGTAACCGGCGTTATACTACCGCACCCCACCGCGCCCCACGGATTCGCGGTGTCTTTTAATAACGTATCCGCGTGGAAACGATCGCGATATTAGGTATTCCCGAGCCGTATCGTATCGCGCCAATTTTCCCATCGTCCTCGTGAATCCAATCAAATTTCGCCCCCAAATTTATTCCATCGTCTTCGCACGAAAGAGAATAGTTGCAAGCACCACGAAACAGAACGAGAATACGATTTTCTCCACGACGCGACGAGATCCCGATTTTGAAACGTCGCGTCTCCGGCGGCGCCGAATACCCCACCATCCCCCTCCCAGACTTGATTTACGACGTTTGTTTTTCAACCGCGACGCGGATGATGATCGTCAACGGCACACTCGTGCCGGTTCGTTTTATCCCGCGGCCATTGAAATATATCGTCCATGGTTTTTGCATCGGGAGGCCAACGATCCGAAAGATAAAAAAACGCATGCGCGTACCGCGGAGGAGAAGAGGGAGAAATTTTTGTTTTTTTCGCTTTTTCGCGGCGTCGAAACGCGGTTGAAGCGAATTACTCGTACGATGCAACGATGGTAAATAGGATATAATCGGCATATAATTGGCCAATCGTGTTGCCGTGCCCCTTGAAACCGAGAAAAAATAAGCATTGGCCCCGGATTGCGTGTCCATGGAATCGCAATAAACAGCGGGCGGAAAACGGCTGCATCAGCAGCGGGAACCGTGTCCCTTCGGATGCCCCCCATAACGGCAATATGCATTTCCCGGTGATTACAATTTCGGTTCTGCGGCGTGGTTTTCCCTGTTGTAGAATTAGCAGAAATTCTGACTCAGTGAGCAAAACAGCGCTGTTCCCGCAATGCCAGTGGCGTATTAATAACACGTGCTTCGTGTAATTTCAATTCCTGCCGCACGTTTCGTCGCGGTGCGCTTCGATTCTCCCCGTTATTGGAAAATAATACACGAACGAAATTCATAACGGCCTAATGAGCTTACGTTACGGCCTACCGATGCCGTATCTCTCTATCACTCGTATTATCGATTCGTCTAAAAAGATGCGTTCCCCTTTCGAAACGCGATCCCATCCCCCCACTACATTGTGGATAAAAAATTCGTAAAACAATTCTGTTTCTTTTTCCCGACAACGTTACAAATATTTTTCCAATTCTGTATAATAATAAAAATGTTCTTTTTTCGTTCGATTATGATTTATATAACTCGCAATTTTCGCGAATAAAATGTGTTCTTAATTGTTCTTAATTGTCGTCACAAGTGTCCATTAAAATTGTCACTGTCACTACGAATCACCGCAGAATGATTATAATTCAATAACGGAGAACACATGTTATTTATACGGCAAAAGAGAAATAATTGCAGCGATTTTTGTCAATATCGGAAAACAAAAAAAAAAAACACATTCGACGAATTTTTTGTCCACTAATGTACGTCGAAATGCATCAACATCGAGTCGAAAATATATTTCCTATATATGTCCAGTCGAGTTACAACATATTAAAACGTTACTTTCGTCAGTGGTGTCTCTTGCCCTTTATTATTTACGCGCGTCAAATTCTTTAAAATCCCTTCTGTTTCCTCGAGAATTTTTCTCTTCATCGTTCATTTTTCACTTTTTAACGTTTTAACTCGCCAGACGAGTGTAAAAAAGACTTAAACGGAACGTCCGTCCCGTTAACGTTCGATAAACACACGAGCTTCGAAGGCAACTCGCTACAAGTGCAGTCGAGTCAATGCCAAGAGTTCATCGATGCAAAATCGACGGGGAAAAGAAAGGAAGAGAGAGGGGAAAAAAAAAAAAAAAAAGGAAAAAAAAATCTATCTACGTCTCGTCTAATGCATTCTCACGGTTGAAAGATACGGAAGGTAGAAAAACTACTGCACTGGATGGAAGATAGAAGAACGCGGTGAAGCGCGTTCGTCTATCGGTCGACTATCTTCGAGGGCAACGTCACGAAGCTTTTCATACGGGGCGACGCGATGTCTGCACACGCTATGTGTGTCACGGGTGTGGAGTGCGTAAAGACACGCGATGAAACGATGCACTCGATTCGATGCAATTTATATTTCGCTCTTTCTCTCGCCAAAATATCCTCCGAAAGAATGATGGATGCTGAATGTCGGTCGCGAGTATATACCACTGTGAAACACGCGGAGTGCCGTTAAGGTCGAGTACCTCGAATGTAGGACACTTGGTGCTCTTTGTACTCTTTCGTCTTCTTCTTCTTCTTCTTCTTCTTCTTCTTCTCTCGACGATCTCTCGATACGAGCTTTCGCCCTTGACAACGAGCATCGCGCAAAAATACCATCCATCATCATTCTTTCCTTCCGAATCGAAGATATCGATCGATGAACACGCGCTCGTCACGCCTTTGTGATTCGACTATGCCTTAATTCGTCACGTTCGAGTTTTCTTTTGTTTTTTTTCCTCCGCTTCTTTCTCGCGAAATTAATCGATTTATCGGTAGATAACGAGGAAAGTAAATCGCGGAAGAAAGAATCGATACGTTCGCGGATCGTAACTGTCGCGTTTTTTTTTTCTAGGAACCACGGTTATATCGTTTACTTTAATCATTTAAACGGGACACCGGTGGTCGATATATTTATATTCTTTCCTAGTATCCATATCCTAGGGAGTATGGTTATGTCACTGATTAGGGTTTACAGTCACCGGGTTGCACATATAGCTCCCCTCGCTAGGGGGTGAAACAATACCGAGTGGGGGAAGGTCCATGACCCTGCACCCGGTGTAACTTCCGTTCCGCATCGTTGTTCGGCTACTCGACGTGCGCTACCCGACGAGCAAACGAGAATATAAAATTATCTTCTCGACCGTAAAATAACCGAGAGAGAGCAGCTTTTGCGAGTATTTTAATTCGCGTTCGAGCGTAACCGGACGAATGCTGTTCTTTTTTTGTTACTCGAGGATATATAGCGATTCTCGTTATCCGATCGATCATCCGAGAATAAAGATTTCTAAATATAAACTCGCGATACGAAGCTTTTAAATTGGATTACGCGAATTTCCCGTGATTTCGTCGAATTTATTGACGACGACGCGATGTGAGATAAACTACGACGAATATCAGCTCGAAAACAAACTTTTTGTTTTCTTGTGTCGTTTCGTGCGCGATAACATTAGTCATTGCGTATCTATCTTCTTGGATTCTTGGAATTCGATATGAAACACTCGCGACAATGTAAACAACGAAACCGAGGTTTTTTGTCGAACGGCCGATGACGCATCGCGGACAAGAAACACCACACGGAAACGTAATAAAATAACGTTTAAATAATAATGCATAATAAGTAAAGAAAAGTAAAAAATAGAGACACTCACCGAGTTGGACGTACATCTTCGGCCTGATGTTTTCCTGCCATGCTGCGAGGACGAGGGTGACAGTGGCGACAACGCACCAACAGGATAACACGGGGTGCATCCTCGTTTCCAAGATGGTACGCCTCATCTTCTCTCGGGTGGTTCGAACGACACCGAAAACGTGCCAGGATTCGTAGTCTCCTCCGTAGATCACGAGAAAAAAAGGAGAAAGATCCTCGGTAACTCACGAATACCGCACCAACCACCGGCACTCTTTTTTACTCCCCGTTAAGCACAGGCTCCGACGTAACAGCGGAAGGAGAAAGGACGTGTTTCTATCACTCTCTTTTTCCTCCCTTTCTCTCCACTCACTGCAGCAGAACGTGCGAGGGTGCCGCAGTCACGTGCAGCGTGTTCCTCGTCGTTGTCGCAGTCGTTGTCCTCCAGCTCTGCTCACGCATGTTTCCTTGCGGACGACCGGCTTCCTGATCGCGCACATTCACGAGATCGAACGCGGCGTGCCCGCACGCACCTCGACGGATCCGAAAATCGGCGATCGAAAAAGGGACGAGGGAGGTATTCGAGTGGGAGGTAAGAGAGAGGCGGCAAGAGAGGTAAAGAGAGCGAGCGAGCGAGAGAGAGAGAGAGAGAGAAGGCGCGTGCGTGTACGCGAGAGAGGTAGGCAACGACGAATCGACACACGTACGTAGATATGCGATCGTATGCGTTTATCCCGATGCACCGTGCGATCAGACGACACCAAACGCAGCACCACTTCAACGATCCGTAACTCACGGCGGTCGCCGTTACACTGACACCGCGCACCACCACGACAGGTGACACGCGCCCCCCACTACGCGCCGCAAAGCCGCCCCTCCACCGAACAATCGGCCGGCGCAGGCGCGTCGATAATGCTGCGCTACGTTTTCTACAACGGGTCGCGTGTGCGTGCCTACGCGCCTCCACCGCACGCACACGTACCTCTTACGCACGTGGGTAGGAGTAAGAGGCACCGGCACGGAGAATATAGGGGGCAGTGGATGGAAAAAGGGGAAGGAAATCGAGGGGAGATAGAGGTATACAGGAGACACCGGGCAAGCGCCGATTTTCAACCCCACCACCCCCGCGACACGATCACGCCGTCGTTCTTGTCGACGTCCTCGTCGTCGTCGTCGTCGTCGCCGTCGCCGTCGCCGTCGTCCTCCTCGTTGATATCTCGTCGACGCTATTGCAGCGCCGCCAATCTGTAATGAGAAAAAGAAAAATTAGAATCTGTTCTGACAAGATTCTTCGACACTTCAAAAAAAAAAGCACCTCTGACGGCCGATAACCGCGATAAACACGCATCGATTAGAAAAAAAAAAAGGATGAGAGGATTTAATGCAAATGTATTCCGAATATATTCGTATATTCGTTTCCACGAATAGATTATTTTCCTCTTCTCGCGAGAATAACCGATTATCGTTCACCAACGTGATATAATTATTTTAAAGTTCACGTCCAAGATTCAAACCTAAGTGAATTCGCTCGAAAGGGGATACGCGAGGCGGGGATTTAAATTATCCCATTGTTACGTGTACTTTTTCACCGGATTCCTCGGTATTATTTCTTGACCTGAATTTCAGCCGAAACCGTTTGCGCCAGCACGAATTTTATCACGCTTTATTTGCTCGAGGGTGCTGAGAAGGCGTAATAAACGTGTGGCTAACGATCACCTCGTTACGCGGCCCACCTATACCAAGTTTTACGAATATTCGTGAAAAGATGGCCTCCTCCTCTTCTGGTCGCATCGCGGGGAAGATATCAAAAAACGTTGTGTTTATTTATTTAATAAAGATTCTCATCGACGTCCTCCCTACGTACCAATGATTTCCATCGATATTTCTATCTCGGGGAGAAAAAGAAAAAAAGAAAAAAAAAAAAAAAAAAAAGAAAAGATGATTATTCGATATGCATATCGGCGCAAAAAGAATTAAAACGTGCACGGCTCATCGAAACTCGTAAAAATTATATTTCCGCGGCAATGAAAGATCGTAAATATTCTGAGAAACTACAACTACAGGCGGACAAATGAATCGATACCGATGAAATAATAATCGTTGCTTTCGTTCAAAACAAATAAAATATAAAACATAAAAAAAAAAAGAAAAAAAAGCAGCGGAAAGAAGATTGAACGAGATCGAAGCTAGTTTACAGGAACGAAACAGCGAGGAAAATCCGCATCGAGTTTTTCGTTTGCGAGAGTTTGCCAGAGGCACGATAACTACGTTATCCCGAACACCGGTGGATGTTGGGCAAATTTTCCCTATAGTTATCTGTATGCGGCAGTCGTTGCAACGCCGACGACGTTGACGGTGTTCATTAATTTGGTGAATTAAAAGTAGCAGGGCGTACGTCGAACCCCTAATTCCTACGCCCGTGATTGGTCGTGTGTACAGCAGGGAGTGCATCGTGGCCAGAGTTCGATGCGTTCGGCGAGACCATCCCTCCACACGTACGTAGTATATAACGCGCTACGCGCGCGCCTTTAAAACGTTATTCGGTTGGAACGGTCAGTGATGCGAGAGAATAATGGACAATGACCAATGAAATATTAATAAAAACAAAAGGAAGGGCCGAAGAACGAAGCTTTTGCTGAATACGGCGGAATAACCGTAACGATTTCTCGTTACAGTCCCTGATATTTCGCGAAAAGAGATAATCCTCGCGTCCCACGTACAAAGCAAGCTTACATTATTTCTCGTCGACAGGGAGAATATATCTTTTGCCGCTTTCTACTTCAAAGACTTTTCCCGGTTAACAAGCTTAACGGGGCGTATCTTGATCGAAATGGAATTATCCGTTAATGCCGCGATATTTATTCATTTGGTGACGCGACAAATTGACGCGTTGGAAACGAGGTGTAAAATATCGATCGCTTCCGATCTCCCGTCAACCGGGGGAAAAACCGGGGGCGAAAACGACGACGTGTCATTGAATTATTTGGCTGCAAACTGGAAAACACAAAGCCCACTTCACATGCCACCAACCCGTACAAGCTTTTATTCCCCGTGATTCTTACTTAAAAGCCATGCATCGGTGTGCATAGAGGGCGATCAAAGGCAGTAGAAGAAGAAACATGCCATCCTCCAAGTGGTATGAAAAGGCGCGTGTAAGGATCCCGTTCCGAAGAAGGGTGCGAGAGACGCTCGTCCCTTGGGAGGGACTGACTTTGTCCGAGTCGACCATCCTTCTGCTTAATGTTACACAGCTCGCGTTCTCTAGATGGAAGAACGTCGCGTAGGTTGCATTGCACCGATATCGCGAAAGATGTTGAAAGACAAGGGGGGAAAGGGGGGAAAGGATCGATATACCCGCCACGGTATAAGAAAATATCCTTGAGAGAGAAGCGCGATATTATTTAACTCGTTTTTCTTTTTTTTCTTTTTTTGCAAATTCCACGTTTTCCATTCGAATAAAATTTTTTCGAATACGTGTATATCCGCTCTCCTGAACGGTGATCAGAAATTCTATCGTATTTTTATTAAGGGGGACTCGGATAAAATCTGATGCGTTGATATCTTCCAATTACAACAATAACCAGTAACGATAACAATGGGTCTCGCTTCCATCGATTTTTATACAAAATACATACACGTTCTTCTTTTTCATCGCGCGCGCATTTCCATTTCCCCATCGAAGAAGGGAACGGTTAAATCGTGTTTCACCGTTGGCATAGGAAATGTAGGTTAAAAAAATAAAAACCCATAAAATCGTCCCGCGAGAGTGCTTGCCTGCGATTCGATTTTTGGCGGGGGATATCGGTGGAGAAAAGAGGGTGGAGGAGGAAAGAGTAGTAGCGGCAGTCTGTCCGTATTCCCAGAAAAAGAAAGGCGGCCGAGAGGAGAAGAGGACGAGAAGGGATCGATAGCCGAACAACGGGGAAAATCCCGATGGAAAACGCGTGGAAAACGCGGATACGTTGCTCTGGCACTCGTCACGAAGGGTGAGAGAGAGAGAGAGAGAAAGACAGAGAGAGAGAGAGAGGGCAAAAGTCGCGACAGCAGCCAGTCGAGCGATCGAAGGGCGTGGAACAAAACCCAATTAAGTCCGTCGAAGTCCAACTTCCGTCGAGCCGTTACATGGAAAACATTTTCTGGGTGAAACTGGTTAGGCCATTTAAGCTGAGTTCGCGTATAGCACCGATCTTATCGTCTCTGAATACTTGATAAGAAAAAATTGATAACGGAAAAAAAGAAAACCTCCTGAATGGTTAAGTTCGCATACTCACGTATTGCGAAAAAATTTTGAATTTACGGTGGAAAAAAAAGGCAAAAGAAAAGGGGGGAGGGGAAGAAAGAAAAAAAAAAGTATGTATTCCATTGTTTCGTTCGAGAAACCGAGTAAAATATTTAATTGCTATTAAAACCAGAAATTTTATATTCCCTTGTACAAATACATATCGAAACCATTATTCGTTATACAATATTTCAATTATCGACCGCTATTCAGAGTTACACGCTATTATCACACGTGAGATTTATATCAAATACCACCGAAACGAATTACAAGCGCTCAACATTCATTTGTTCAAACAATACAATGTTTGAATACGTTAACTAACGTTAATTTTATAAAGTTCGCGCGATACCGTTTGAATATTATACGACACGTGTTGAAAATCGTTGATCGAGAATAATTGAAATTTTCATTTTCAAACAAGATAAGATATTCCTTAAGATAAATGAAAGATATTTTACAAGGGAGAAAAACGCAGGAAATACAAAAGTAATCTCTCGCGTCACCTATCGCTCTTCAACAAAATATTCGATGAATCTGACGCGACGTCGAGCCGTTTTCATAGGTTGTTATCCTCGGGAGATCCGAGTTAGGTATTCCTCTCGCGCTCTTTTTCAAGCCTGCTTCGTCAATCTGCTTCAAGGGTACGACCTTCGATTAAAAGGTTTCGATTCAAAGCGCTCGACCGCCATCACCATGAAATCGATATCGCGTCGGGAAGAATGTAACGAATCGCGAAAAGATCGGATATATTTCGCACGAGAATTACGTACGTGCGTTAAAGAAATTATATCCGTCAAAATTTCTTCTATTCAAATTTCCCTCTTTGACGTTTTTCGTTTGACGATTTATCGAGAATATCGTGATATCGTTTAATTAACAAGAGAAGATAATTCCGCCTCGATCTCGCGATCTCGCGGAAGAAAGACTGAAAGAAGTGAAAACCCAGAAGGCGAACTCGCGTGGACTTCGATTTAAAAAAAGCTCGAACAACTTTGACCTAGAAAGGAGCTGCCTCATTACCCGCCGATTAATTCGAAACGACTTAATTAGTATATCTTTGCGTCAAGCAGCTCGCCGACACATTCGTGCGCGTTGATTAGGTGGAAGGTATCCAACTTTGTGAAAAAACTTTTTTTCAATCTATTAAAAGCGTGGCGGAGGAGAAGGAGGATTCCCCTTTCCCTTTTCTCGTCCACGAGATATTTTAATCCCCGATAAACCTTTTATATTATCGCGAGTCGAAAGGCTCCTAATACCTAATCGCGATTGTTCGCGATTCAGCTTTTCACTCGCGTCCATTCGATAAATTTCCGTTACAGGGGTTGCATCAGAAACTGAAATCACAAAGCGGGTAAAACCCTGCTCGGAATCGGAAACCGCGCGCATAACGCCAACCTCGACGAAACTTATGCATCATGCATGCACGCTCTCAGAGATCGCCCATGGGATAATATGTCGGTCTGGTTGCTCTTCTCAGATTATCGCACTTGCTAATTTACCCATTACAGGCATTGCAGATTCGGGGAATTGATTCGATTCGTTTTATCGTTTTACCCTACCCGTAAACACGTCGTTTGGAGCCAGTTTCAAACTAAATTGGACCCTTCTGGACCCTCCCCTCCTTAAATTCGCGCCACCCTTCTCGGATAAAGAAAAATAAACGAGGTAATAATCAAGCTACCCGTATATTCTCTTGCCTCTATTCCCACTGTCCTTATTTCAACCGTGGAATAATTAATTCGCTCCTTTTTTTTTTCTTTCTTTCTTTCTTTTGACTCACTCGTCCTCTTAATGCCTGAATTCTTTATCAACGGTATAAAAGCCAAAAAAAAAAAAAAAAGAAGATGGATTACGG